TTTTTTTTAGAATATCTTTATTGATTTCAGAGAGAGGAAGGGAGAGGGAGAGAGAGAGAGAAACATCAGTGATGAGAGAGTCAGTGATCGGCTGCCTCCTGCATGCCCCCCACTGGGGATCAAACCCGAAACCCANGATGAGAGAGTCAGTGATCGGCTGCCTCCTGCACGCCCCCCACTGGGGATCAAACCCGAAACCCAGGCATGTGCCCTGACAGGGGAATCGAACTGCCATCTCCTGGATCATAGGTCGATGCTCAACCGCTGAGCCACCCCAGCTGGGCACACGTGTTAGGTCTTTATATCCTTTGAAGAGACCCATGTCATCATGTACAACAGGTGTTCAAACAGGGGTTTCAAATCTTGAACAAATTATCATTACCCTCGTATCCCCATATAACCCACCCCTTATTTAAAAGCTGATATACTGACTTTTCCTTTCCCTGAAAGTTTAAAAACAGAATTTAAGAATGTTTTTTAATAATAGTAAAACAATTTAAGAATGTTTTTAACAATAACGAGAACATATCTATACAGTCTAATTTATACAAAAGTTTAGGGGCAAAATGTTAAAATAACATGTTAAGTACAGGAGAAGATAGGCCAAGGAGAAGGAAATCATTTTATCATCTAATTATAACTTTTTTAGGCTTGTATTCAAGTACTATTCAGTAGCCTTACTTACTGGGCGAACCTTTGGAGAGATGGCCTTCAGACCATTCTCCTCAGTGATTTTCGCTCTCCAGCCCTGAAAGCCTCCCTGTGGTCTCACGCATTCAGTGTACTCTTTGGCTCTCCGAGTCTTCCCTTTTACCTGTTGTATTTGGGCTTTTTCAGATGGCCTTTTCTTCTTCTTCTGATTATTATATTAATGAAAAAATTGGCCTAACAAAAGTTTGAGGACCCAGGTTCTACTCTGAGCCACTGCCTTGAAATAACTCTTTGTCAAGTTGCCTTACGCCTTATCAAGGTGGTATATTTGCATTTTAATATGATCTTTAATAAATTATATCATCTTCATCAAAGTTGTGATATTGGTGGTGGGAATTCCAGGCTTCTTAGAAGTGGGCATTAATTTTATGTCTCGAGCTACCTGCTTTTGGGCACCTCGGTCCTCCCATATGGGCCTGGCTTTGTTTATTTTCCTTCAGTTATTCCAAAATGCTTAATATTAAATGAAAGTTCCAGGGACACATGTTAGTTTTAGTCACCTTTGCTTTTTTAACAGTGTCTTTTGTTTTATAATCAGTGAATAATTCATGCTGTATTATTTTTGAATAATGGATAGCTGAAGGCTAGGCTTTTAATTCTAATAATAATGCTCTTCATTTCTCTTACTGAAACAATAAAAATATCCTGTGCCTTTCAAATATACTCTGATTATGCTGTGGTTTGTTTCATATAAGCATGTTATGTGGTTTATTTATAACTTGATAAATTTAAAGTAGAACAATTTACCTTGGCAGACATACAAAAGCTGTTCTCAAGTGGTTTTTCTTTAAGCTGATGATATGAAAATAAATGGTGTCTTAAAAATCTGTAATAAAATTTTAGAAATTAAAAATGCAGGCTTTTTCTTTTGTAGATGGGTTCATTTTCTTTTGTAGATGGGTTACTTTTTAGAAGTTAGAGGAAGTTAAGTATAGAGGAATGTTTGCTACCTTGAACCATGATAAAAGAAAGATTGAGTAGTCAAGAATTTTATTGGATTGTATTTGTGTAGACATAGATTTGATTTTATTATTATTCTTGGTGATATTATACTTTCTCTGGTGTACATAAAGCATTGTTTTAGGAAGTATGGGAATTAATGATCAGATATCATAAACTATAAGAGAATAATTTTGGCTTTCTTTGCTTTGGGTGAATCTTATAATTATGTTTACAGTTTTCTTTATAGCATACATATTTATTAAGTTTATTAGGCACCTGTGGAATTTCTGGAAATTTAAAATGTCTTAGACTTACGCTCAAAATATTTATCATCTCTGAACTTGTGTAATAGCTTGCTTTTTCTATTGTAACTTTCAATATACATTACATTATATCAATAAATAAAATATCCTAGATGTAGAGTCACCTAAACACTGTCTTATGAAATTTTAATGCTTGAGCCAGCACAGAACAAAGTAAAGCACATTTAGAGCACTCGTCTGAAAATACGTTTTGGAAACTATACATGGGTCAAATAAGATGATCGAGAACTTTCTCTAAAAACTAAATGATATCATCAAGAATTAAGAACTTTCATTCATGAAAGATAATTCAACTTGTCAGAAAGTTACCTGACACCTGGCAATAGCCAGAAGAGATTCTTGAGTGTTTTTGTTTTTTTTTAGTGCAATACTGGGTTTAATTTTGTGTTGAATGGGCTATTTAACAATGTTGTAGGGCAGAGGTTAATTTATAGATTTTTATTCCATGGAGATGCAGATAATTTCTGTCTGGTGAAAATGATAACCCTACTGGCTTTACAGTTTATTACCCTGTTGGACATTAACCAGTTTTATATGTAGTTAAGCAATCTTATCCTAACATTGACTATAAATATTAGTTTTTGAAATACTCATTGAAATGATTTCACCACTTTATTGATTCCCTCATTAATTAATTATTTGAATAAAATCTTTGACATAGGTTCATTTTACATTTGCCTAGAAGTCAGTTTTACCTTTTTGAAAGTTTTGCCTTAATACACTTTTGACTGGCGAGTCATATAATTTTATTTGCTTGGGAGTCATGATTTTAAATTTTTGAAAATTTTACTTCATCAAATTTCAAAACATAGTTACATAATTTAAGATCTGAATGATACCATGCAATCAGCATCTTGCCCAACACCCTTGTCTTCTGGATGAAGAAACTGAGGCTTAAAGAGGCAGTTATTTGCCTGAATTTAGCCATATGATTAATTTAGAATCTTTAGTGTTGGAACCGATTAGAAAGTTAGAGAACCAAAACTTTCTCTGAGATTTCATTATCGACAAAAATAAAATAAGAAACACTAGTTTAATAAATCCCGAAGGTCTAACGTAGACACATTTATGTGTATTAATAATTGTAGGGCATCTTTTTTGTGAACTGGCAGGGAGTGAAATAAACAAGGAAGCTTCTCATACTATGAAACTTTTATAATCACATTGCACAGTTGATTGAGAATCTACTATGTGTCATGCTGTGTGCTGGGCAATGTGAATGTATAAATTAATAAGTAACTTTTAATGTGTTAATCATCAATTGAGACCTATAATTAGACTTTAACTCATAGCATTTGTGGAAAAAGTTGAGGAAAGAAATTCTTTGAGGACTGTCTAGAAATAAATTCTAACTTAGGATTTTTTACTCACAGTGAATTTTACTGTATCTCTAATCTATTGTTGACACTACTGCTTAAAATGACAATTAGAGTCATTTTTGTGGCTGGACAAATAGACCTATTTATTTTAATATGTCCTGAGGACATCTCTGTGTTCTAGTATCATGGTCCAATAGTAGATATTCATAATAAATATCCTGATTAATCAAAAATATGCTGGCTATGTAAGTTCTGAACCACTTCAAAGAGCTGATTAAAAGTACAACCAGGTTACATAATTCTGCATATAATTTCAGAGGGTTTTTGGATCCCTGAACAATCATTCATGGAACTCTTTCCTCTCAGGTCTGTGATCTTCCAGGTTAAGAACTTTTGATTTACAGCATATTTAAGAAGGTGGGAAATAATATACACTTTAGAAAGACTTCACCNGTGATCTTCCAGGTTAAGAACTTTTGATTTACAGCATATTTAAGAAGGTGGGAAATAATATTATACACTTTAGAAAGACTTCACGTAATNACAATCATTCATGGAACTCTTTCCTCTCAGGTCTGTGATCTTCCAGGTTAAGAACTTTTGATTTACAGCATATTTAAGAAGGTGGGAAATAATATACACTTTAGAAAGACTTCACGTAATGTGTTTAAATGTTTTGCTTTTATACAAAGGTGAAAACTTACATTCTGGAAAAATTAGTTAAATAATTAAAAAACTATTTCAACTTAATTTACAATTATTTAAATTTTATTTAAATAAAATATTGAATGAGATACCAATGAAAATGGAGAAGATTTAATGAGATGCCAATGAAAGTTGAGGAATCATTTACTTGCTAATACTTTAATATTTTTAGCCCATCAATTCCAAATTCACTACCATTCACTTAGTGAACTAGAGAATGAAATGCTTTGAGTTTATTTTCATTTAACCCTTTCTTAAAGATTATCAGTTACCAGGTTTTTTTGTGTTTGTTTTTTTTTTTCTCTCTGATATACAAATGATTCCAGATAGTCACTTATTTTATAGTGTCTTAAAGTATGAGGAAAGTTAAGTTAATGTATACAATTAAATGAAGTTATTTGATTTACCACCAATGGTTTTCTGGGCATGAGCATACAGCTCCTGCTTTTTATAAAACAATTTCCAAAAAAAAATGAATGAATTTTCCCCAATGGAATTATTTTCTTGACATTTATGGAAAGAACCGTAACCCTTTCTTACTGTTC